GCTAAGAATTCATCCTTCCATTGATAATTCGTTTTAGATCTTTCATATTTTCTCATCGCTTTCTTTCAGTCGTTTACATTTCGGACAAAAGTATTCATCTGCCCGGATCGCATCCCTGAAAAACGGTGAGTTTAAACTCCTAACGAGAAAGCAGATGCTTTGCACATTTGGGGTTTTTTTTTCGGATTCGATGAGTTTATAAGTTGCTTCTGAACGATTAATTAGCGAAACATCAATGTGGTCAAAAAACGAAACTTACATTTCTGTGATTCCAATACATGCCGGATGGAACCAGTCATTACAGCCGTCACATCCCACATAAAACTGTCTGCGATCGTATGGTTTCTGACAGACACAATATAGTCTCTGCAATAAAATTAACGATAACGACACAATAAAATGTTTTTCGGGATAATATTTGCAAAAACAATGATCTTATAATTATTGATGGCATAACGTCGTAGTTGATGAATACTGCGGACGATTTATTCATTGAGAAGAATACATCAAAATGTTGTCATATCGATACCTTATTGTATTTCCTCTTCTTGCTCTTCGTCGCACTTTTGGATTTTGATCTGGTTGGTGGTGTATCATCGATATCCAGTGGTTCGTCGACGAGCGATAGCCAGTTATCAATTGTTATTTGGTGATCGCTCAAACTGATCGACGGCAGTGAGTGACGGGTACGTTTCGCGATGGGTTCACTCTCGGAATCTGTTCCGCACTCTGATTCCATCTCTTCATCCAAATCGCACTGTACACTGACCGTTCTCGAAGAAACTGTCGACTGTGGCTGTTCTATTTCAGCGACGTGCTCACATGAACGACCATCGGAATCCGATCGACATGATTTAAGCGACTGTAAAGCCATAAAGTGGAAATCTTATACAATCTATCGCTTCTTCAGTGATAGGACGAATTTCAGTTGAATTTCGCTATTGTTGCGCAGAATTCAACCATTAAAAGCAAACACCCACAAATAATAAACAATCCTGAACCCATCTGAATCGTGAGTGAGAAGAAATATCACTAGAATCATTTGAATGTCTTTTAATAGCATGATTCGAGTAGATTTTTTAGCTTTTCGAGTTCGATTTCAATATTTCAAAGAAACAACGCAAATGAAATGAATCAATGAGAATATTGTGAATTAAGAGATTTGAGTGTAAAATTTACAGATGAATCGAGGTCATCCGTCGATTTGTCGTTGAAATCGCCGATTGTGAACATTATTTTCCGATTGGAAACCAAATTGGACGGCGATGGTAACGACGAGTAGTCAGATTTTATAGATGAGAAGCGCGTTCTCCTTGCAACTGGTTCTTCCTCATTTCGTTTTCCATTTTCCTCATCAGTATTAGTTTTCATCTCAACGATCGAATGGTTCGATTGTTCATCATCACGATACTCTACTGTATCGCCGTCGACAGACAGTGCTGATATGATACCATCGTTACTATACGAACATGGCGTTGGTAAGTCAGCCGAACGAGGCGTGATACTACGGTCTATCTGAAAATCATGACTGCGTTACCAATGTGTAACAAAAAGGGTCAATCTCGTTGGTCTACGGTCTATAGTCTGTCTCACTGAGAAGTTGAAATAACAACGATATTTTAGATCAACTTGTTAGATCGATTTTAAAATTTGATTCCAAAGTAGAATGTATATCTCTCTTATATTTCAACAAACACAAAAAAATGCAGTGGTAATCAAGAACGCTCATTCCGATGATAAAGCATGAATCGCTACTAAGTTGATGTAGTGAATCGCTTGTGAGAGCTTCAAAGTTGTTCAGCAATTAAATGGAATTGCTCATTCCGATATACAGAATGTGAACGACCACATGCAAACCCCAAAGAAAGCAGTAGTTTTCGACTAATAACATACTTCTGAATGGTCATGACCACCACGATGATGTGTTAAATTGGTGCGTTGCGATGTTGTCTCGCATTTATGCCAACAAAATTCACTTGGATCAACACATTCCTCATCTTTGGTTGCTGCTTCATTTCTCAGTGCAGTTATCTCGTCACTGACTGAAGATCATTAAATAGATTCCATCTCATTGAACAACAACAATTTTACAACTATAAGAGGACTGAAAATTCTAGACTGTTTGTGCATCACTTCTTAAGAAACGATGTAAATGTTCATGAGAAAGAATAAATCAGTCCGGAATAATTGAGGATTTTTGGTGCATTGAAGCATAACAAATGGAATGACAACAGCAAATTGAAAGCTGTATGAAGGGAAGGGTGATGCATGTATAATGAACATAGAAACATTTCAACCGTTTAACAATTGTGATGTTTACAGTAAGAAAAGTACAATTGGAAAAGGATGGCAGTACGCGCATTAATCCAGTTAATCATTAGACTGTTTTTGATCTACGTGGTACTTTCAACNGCAACGAAATGCTTTTTCGCTTGCTGGATGGTATGAATGAGATGTGGCATTATTGAATGATGATGATGATATCAATATATAAGTGATATAAATCCATTGAAATTAATATATGCACAAAGATACGGATATCATTTTTTTTTCTGAATAATAATGCTGTTCCGATGAACTCACCCTGTTTTGTTGGCCGTGAATTTTCATCGTTCGACGATTGAATCTGTCTATCGACATTGTCAACTTTCAAAAGCTTTCTGTCCTCATCAAGACAAGGCAATTTGATATTGTTGAGTTCAAGAAGCCAGCCGAATTTTCGCCAGTCATCGTCTTCAGACTCAAAAGTCGGTAAGAAGTCCTCGGTACTACACGAACTCAAACTTCGCGATATCAACGACGCACTTGACGGGTTGTGAGTCAGCGCAAAATTGTTCAATTTCGACTGATTCAACGTTTTCATTTCGTCGCTCAAAGTCATAGCACTTCTGAGCGAATGGCTGATTTGTAGTGTTCTCACACACGCTTAGTCTGAAAATTTCAAACCTTTGTTTTCAGTGGAAAAATTGATGATCATTGTTTCAGTGTCGATCATACGTCGCTCGCAATCAATTAACGGAAATTCTGTTAAAACATCATGCGTATCGATTATGGTCGATCGAAAATGTCCCGTTTCCAAACAAACATACCACAGTTTATGCGCACAAATTGATTCAATAAAACTTGAAATTAGACACGAAATACGATTATTTAAATCTTTTGCTATGCAAACACACTCTTGAACGCAAAAATCATTCCATATGCAAAAATATTCACCATGTTTACGTGTGAATTTTAGCATTTCAAATTGCATTCGAATTATATGAGAATATTCGAATTTATTGTCGTTTCGCTATGAAATCGTTCGGAGATTTTGCAATCAAACAGTGAAATAAATTATGACATTGCGAGATTTTCATTGAAGCATTTCGAATACTACTCAATTGAAATAAGCAAAAGCGATCTTATCGTTACGAAACCTTAAAATGCTATTTGGTCAATATCGCATGCTGCGATCAAATTATCGACGCGATGACCTCGCTCGATAGAATTTCTTATTTGTGTTCACGACAACGACAAGCTCGTCGTTCACTACCCTACGCTTCTCCTCACCAAATATCCTCCGATACCGGTTTGTTTATCCGCTCAAACCGACCGATCGTTCATGTAAACAACTAGGTGTGGTCAATGATGTCATCGTGAATCCATTATGAACGTGTTATCCCGTCACTTTTTACTATGGAACAATTCACATTGATGTGTTAAAACTAATGGCAATTTGTAGTGAGGCATATGGGTTGAAAACTGACGATTTTACATAATGAAGGATGTTGCAATGATGAAGCATACAGAATCATACTCTATTTTAAAGGCACTCAAATAAAAATGAATAGTACTATTGTTCCATGAATAGGTCTGTAGTGAAATGAATCGAAATCGCTCGGCAAACCATCATTTACTCATTTCACTAGCAGTTTTCAGGGTGAGCTATTGGAAGCAAAGAATGAGTTTGCGGGAATTTGCTGGGTGAGAAACGCCTTGATTAACCAAACGTAATGAAGCATATTAGTTGATATGAATATGTTTTATGAAATCAAACGTTAGAGTTGCGAGAATTACTTCAATGCTGCATAGAATATCGTTAAAAACGTTTGAAGATTCGGAATCAGCAAAAAATTGTAATGAGAACAATATTACGTACTGAATGGAGATATCAAGTTTTCACAGTATACCACAATAAAGAGTACCATTCATTTGGGAGTTAAACAGCGAACACAATAACACAAGCATTCTGATGAGGGAGCATCAGAACACGTTGAACCGTTTCCATCAAAAGCACTATAACAACTGAATTTCATATTCAAGCAGACGCGATCAGTACGTTGGGAGGGGGTTCACCAGGAATGGGGAGGGGTTTACCAAAGAACGCTCAATATACGTCATTCTGATCAACGCCGCATTTGATTCTTATAAATCGCATAAATATTATTCCCCTTTACTATACGCTTTCCTGTCTATTCCTCTGCATCCCAATTGTAAATGTTTGCTCTTCGCTGTAAACTGCACATTATCTCTTTTCTATGTGTATTCACGCAATTTCTCTGCAAGCGATCACAACCCAGTTACAACCAAATTCTAATCGAACCAACAACGAGGTCGGTCATTCATTTGACCATCCAATCGCAAATTTCCATCGGTCATATGACATTGGCTATACTCTACGCATTTTTGTTATATTATAAATGAATCATATTCGAGAGAGAGGCCGATCTCAGTAAATGAATAAATAAATGAACAAATGCTTGAGGGTCATCGATTAGAACAAGAGTGACCAGTGAATGTCATTGCCGAACGATTGTACATGTAAACAGTGAACATTATGAAATGACATCATTCAAATGACCTATGAAAATGACGTCACTTCAAACTTTCATGTGAATACTGATTTGTTTCGTTGGATGAGTGTTACCGTTTCCGTAAACACATGTAAACTGACATACAGACCATTGAAAGACCATCGAAGTCGAGCATGAAATCTGTTTTGATTGATTTGGAATACGTAATCAGATCACTTCATCATTCGTCTAGACAAATGACTCAGTTTATGAGCGATCACTTGAATCCACCTGTTTATGAACATGATTCAACATCGCGATTATGTTGATACAAAACGCAGGTGATAATCATATCACCCAAAATTTTATCAATCAACAACATTCATAATTGTCGGCAATTGTCATAACTAGGGTTCGTCGGGATTCCCCAACGATTTCACTCTTCGACTTTTCTGTCAGAGAACCCTATCTCCCACGACCAAAAAGTTACTCCTCGAAAAACACTAGTCGTTACAATTAGCTTGATCGAGTAATCCTAATACAAGCTATTCCAAATCATACTTTCAAGTGATCATCGCTGTTTGGATGTTCATGGCTATCAATTGTACAAATATTCATCGTTGCATGTAAATAATGAGTAGCAGCAAAACAACNATTTCACACATTCATTCTAACATGTGCATAACAATGAAAGATAATGCCATTCTCGAATTCTCGCCCACACTCAAGCTCTACAACACTGAAATAGCATTGACCATTGCAATTCTCTCATTCCCTCCCCTACTGTATCGATCTGTCAGTCGAAAAGCACTCATTCGCTCAAGATCACTTGATCGGAATGCGATCACTCAAAGATCATTCAATAATCAAAGAACACACAACTATTCAAATGATTCGCACGATGTGTAAACACCCTTGCAGAGTTGCTTAGGCATTGATCATTTGTTCTATTTTCCCATGTTCTTACAATCGTGCAGAAACAATCGCAATACATAATTAGAACAGTCTGATGATGATTCACAATTGCAACGATGTGTTTGAAAAAATGCGAAGAATGTTTTATTGTGAAATATTTCATCAGCAGTGTAAAACAAAATGCCATTAATCTTACATAATGCACGTTACAGTTTCATGACATGTGACCATCGAATTATCTTATCAAACAAGCACCACATTATTTAAATGTCATGTTCACTGATCACGAGAGTTTAGCAGTTCATTTTTTGATCACTCTTCTACTACTCATGAATATTTCACGAGATATAAATGAATTTAAGGCCATGATGGGTCAAAATTTCGCTTGTTGGTGATGTTTTGATGGAGATTCCTGAGAATTAAAATCTATCGTCTGAGTTGCATTCGAACAAAATATTCAATTTTTTATCCACTCCAACTATTGTTTTGCTAATAAGCCACTAGATATGAGTTAGGGTTTGTTTACCAGCAATCAAAAAAGATATTTCGCAGAAATAATCGCTTGAAAACCTTCATGTAATCGCTTGCTTGTAGAGCAATTTGTCGAACCTATCAAAACAGCAAATTTGATTTTGCTCATCTTTTCAGTTGAAAATTATTGACTTGATGCGAAATGCTCATTTTGAATGAAATATGATTATACTTAAAATGCTATTCGAATTCTTGTTTTCGATTGTCGATAAGCAATGAAAACATGTGAATACGCGATCATAACAATTCGTTGTCTCGTTTTATTTCTTCAATGACATACACACGTAAACAAATTCACGTGAAAACGCTCGCATAGCGATGATGGGAATGTACCAGGTGCTGCCATCTGAATGAATGATCGGCAGCAGCTATTAACGAGATATTTTTTCAGCGCTGTCATTTGGCGATGGTGAAAACTGGGTGAATGAATGAATCAAAGGCAAAATTACATCAGCATTAAACGTGTTACTGGAACATCAACAATAAAATGATTTGTAAACCGGACTATGGGACTTTTCACAATCTTTATATTATATCAAGCATTCACTCATCCAGCTATTTTTATTTGAGACTTTTTTGGTGTTGAAGATGTCAGAACGTCAAAAGAATTCAATATGAATTCAGTGTATGATTTAATTTCTTTACTTTACGCGAATTACTTTTCATGATTGATGAAAGCATTACAACATGATGAATTACTGCATTCGATCATTATAAAACAACTTTAAACATGCATCAATTCAAGTATTATGCATTAAATCAAATATTATAAGAAGTATTACACTATATTGAGAAGAATCGTTTGCACACTGATAAACAGATCAAAAATTAGCAAAATTCGAATAAAGCATTTTGGTACCTTATAATGCTAGAAAAAAGAGACATACACAAATGAATGCCCAAATTAAATCTCAGTCACTGGAATGATTTTTGCGATAACGATTATTGTTTTGAATGGCAAAAGTTTGCGAAAAGAGCTCACAATCAGCTTATTCATCACACGGCTTGTGAGAAACCGATTCGTCGATTGCGATAATCGAATGCTGTATAAAAGTGGCCAATGAACGGCCATCCGAGAATCCACGATGGTTCTGTTGTGTTGATAGCTTCGAAAGCAAGTATGCAACGTCGGGGTTGCTGAAGATTTGAAGTTGTTTATTCGACCAATTAAACAATTTATTTATTTCAGCAGTAGTCGCAGCTTATTATGAGCTTGTGCCTATGTTTTATCTTCAATATCATGTGCTCACTTTCTTTTTTTTTCCACACAGCCACTGATAACAGTATAGCGAATCATTGATCTTTATGAAATTCTAATCTGGATTCTTGATTTGTCGATCATATTGGTGCATGACTACCCTTTCTTACTGCTCAATGATTTCTAAGGAGAGGTGCTCAATCGAATATATTATGCAAAATGAATGATACGAAAAAGGTATTCCAATAAGCATTTAACATGTGTGCAACAACAATATGGGAACTTTATAAAATCCATACAACACCTTAATAATGTATTCATCAGACGCTATACTCAAAGCTGTTGCGTTGATATAAAACGTTATTGGAGGCATATAGAGACCTTGAGCACAGTCTATCACATATGTACCGTTCACGATTTGTGCACCCAAAATTGTGGCCAACTGAAATTAGAAACAAGAGAAAGATGGAAGCAGTTAAGTTATGCGATCAAGAATTATTGCTTAACTCATAAACTAGAAATGATGCAATGAAATGGTGTTAATCAAGCTCACGAAACGAATTAATAACATTTGCGAATGCAATGAAAGCATTTCTAATCGCTGAATTGCTTCCATTAGCATTTCTAATCTCAAAACAACGATTTACGCTTAAAACGCAATATAACCTCCATTAACATATTTTCATTTTGTAAACACGTCTGATGATGAGGTGAAACAATGGAGGATTCAAAAATTTCTTTGCGAACATTTCGAAAAAATTGAAATATGCATCAGCAAAGCCAAATCATCTTTTATTTTTATGCAACTCTGTTTGGCATTGTGAAATTCCAATCATACCAATACGGTGTGTGATTCAATGATCACAACTGATAATGATTCGATATCATCGGGTATTTCTTGTTTACGTTTAGGTGACATTAACTATTTTGATGAACGAATGAATGACTAATTTTAAAACGAATAAATGCATTCCTTAAAACACACATCTCTCTTTCAGAATGAATGCGCTTGACAAGCTGATAACTGATTGAAAAACAAGAGCACAGGATCAACTAACAAAATCGATGTTTTCAATTGGTCCAGAAATATACGGCGAAGACGTATCAATTGATGCGATACCCTTCTCAGCGATCGTTAAGCTAATGACCGCCATCGAATCAAGTGCTAGACTCCAATAATTTACTTGGTTTTCAACTATTGAACACCAAAGAAATGGTCCCTTAAGATTCAATTTTATTTCATCAACATTTTTGAAGAATTACGCTTGTCCTAGACAAATCATGCAATAATTTTATGCACGAATATTACATTGCCACGTTCGAAATCATCATTTATTCATTATCAAATGTAATGAATATATAAATAAATTCAGCACATTCGTAGAAAGGTTGCTATAAGAAGGGAATAAATAGCACAAACCTTATGCAAAGCATCGTTGATTCCACACATAGCAATTTCACCATCAGAAGGTTGCTGTTCAGTTCGATTCAACCAAAACGCGATAATCGGGTCGTGACACGATGAAGCCGAGAAGATCGATTGTAGCAATGTAGGTATTTTGAGTTGAGTTGGTGTCGCTTCCTCTGACTCACCAGCATCCCAGCCCAATCCGATAACACCAAAATATGGTAAAGACTGCAATTTCGACGTTAAACTCAAATGTTACTGATTATGAGTGTATCTGACTTGAACCGCTTTCGTTTAGAGGAGCGATTTCATGATATCAGCAGTAGTGTAACAATATCAAGAGTACCATATCCAAATAAAGTCTATTTTCATGCTTACTCGGCAATGCCAGCTCCTTACAACGTGTGCATCACATTCCGACGATTCGACTGCTTCAGAAAAGTAAAACAGTTGTCGACTGATAACACATAGTTTTAAAGATTCAGTAATACTTCCAGATGTATATCATCCAAGCGAGCGATTCCATTGTACCCGCTCAACACATTTAATCACGATGTTGTTCAGTCGATGCACTATTACATCATTTGAATTGTACTATGTTAAAACAAACTGTAATCTCAGGTCTGCAAAGCAGCACGTGAATTCATTACATAACTGCATTCAGAAGGTCGCTTAGAATCGGAAAAGTATGTGTTTTATCGGCTAATTGTGCATATTTTCAAATATATACTGCTTTTCGAAGTTTCATCATCTAGCTTAGCGATTTCATTATGTGTCCCAATTGGTTGCATTTGATCTTAATTTTGATCAATCAATGCCTTAATAGAGGAGGTCTATGAGACATATCGTTTTTAAACTATCTCACTAGCATGCCAGTTCTGGACGTAGCCGATTCAGGAGATCCTCAGAAAAATTGATAAGTTGTCGATTGATTATGCACCGTTTAGTGGATATACCTATATTCCTTTGGAACATGGGTATATCTACTAAACGATGTGCTTTCTTTAATACCATCTCATTGAATAAATTTGATCTTAGTGATGATCAATCAAAACATTACTAGAGGATTAAGAATATACTATTTTAAAACATCTGCATTCTAAGTTTTGCTCGCAACAAACGAGTTTATTACATAATCATATTCAGAAGGTTCTCATTGGTCTAATTCTGATTGAGGGGAGTTATCTTCTGGGTTTACCTATGGATCAGTTAATAATCATTACTCAAAACAGAAATGGATTTCAATGAAGAATGCTGGACTGACCGTTAGCAAAGATGGTTCCTCGGTGACACATCCGAATCGTTGGTTCCTACTCGTACAGAATCTTCGTAGCGTATCGTTCCCAAACTAAAACAGTCTCAAATTTTTGCTCTTTGGAAATTCAAAGGCGACGATAACTCTTCTCAAAAATCTCAAATGATTCCAAAATGTAATTTCATGTTTATTTCAACTGTTCACCTATAACAAACGCTCAAAACCAACTAAAAATGCATTTAATGACGTACGCAAATGATATCCTCGACCATATAACCATTAATTTCTACATTTGAATAAACTTTCTGAAATTCCGTTTCATTTGGTGCAAAACACGTCGTCGAACTGTCGCAACGAAAAAATCGATGTACTGAACAATCAAGGAAATTTTGACCGTTACCGCATGCAGAGCACGTTACCCAACTATCTGACGAGCTCGTATCAAATAGCATCTGAAAACTCGTTGATTCGAAAAATCGCTCATTCCAAATACTAAATAATAACTAGATTTGATAGTTGTAACTAGTTAATAACTAGATAAAGAAATTTGACCAAAATTAGGTGAAAACAAACCAGAAACTTTTGATCGGGTGTTCCCAAACTGACTTCGCCATGATACCGTACGTTCCTAAGAAATTTACTCGACTTGACTTTAGTGTGTGGTGCATTTGTTGAATACGATGTTTCAAACGTGCTATATCCTTCAGAACGACGATATCTCATCCGCAAATTGCGGTTAGTTTTGACGAGCCGAATTCTGAAATGGGACTGTCAATTAATGATATCCTCTGAAGTATGGAAGAATGATATCTTTGGAAGATATCCTTGTAAATGGTTCATTGGAAAAATGCAATGCGAAAAAACAGTGCAACAATTAATATAAGGAGCGATGAAGAAATGCTATTACGGTGCTGTTCATTAGAGTAAAACTGATTCAAAAAGAGGTATAAAAAGAAATATTCTTATAAGAAGTTAAAATCAGGCAATAGCACTCAAATTAGGTGCTATATGCAATAGATTGGCGCTCTTATCAACCGTTGATCAATCAAATTGATCATTTCACCGGTTAGAGACTGTTCCTTATATTCACCTTTCTCTTGATATCGTAACTATTGAGCAAATTGTGGGTACTCATAGTGAATGTCGAGTATTGTAGTGTGCAACAATGGATTTGAACATACCTGAGTATTTCTGCATCGATGATTATGAATGATATAATTAATAACTGCAGTTTTGGAACAAGTGTAATTTTCATTTTGAAAACATCAAGTTGAATGCTGATCTCTGAACAAACACACTTGATCGCAAGAGGCAAATTAACAACTGCTAACTAGACGAGAAATGAGGTATTACCACTGGTCGTATTAATTATTGTAGTATTGCGTGAAGCATTTGAATTAATTTGAACGCATTCATTAAAGATGCAATTAAAAAATGCACTCACTCATTTCATAAGCACATGGCTCAATTACTATGGTGATAAGCTTAGTAATATGCATTGGTGATTTTTATTCGATTGCAACGAAACATTGTGATGTTCGATGTTCTTTTCATGCAATACACTTGCTCAAAATTTTTGTATTCAGAGCCATGATTGCCATAACTAGTAACCTTTCAACTGTTGTGAATGATGGTCGCAATTTTTTAGATTCCACCCGTGGGATGTGCAATTTCAAAAGTTCATTAGAAACCTCTACCTGAGTTTAACGCTGAAAACAGGGAACGTGTTGAAATGCGAGTTACTAGAAATGAGATAACGCATGAGTATCGCGACTGAAACGCAGATCATTATTCAATTGTGTGTCAACTCTACAATTAACTTTCAGTCTTTCGTTTGCCATAGTAACAGAAGTCATCGAGTAATTATCGGAGTTTTCTTGAGATTGAATCGAATTATTTTTGAAAAACATCACAGAAATTATTTCTTAGCCAATTAATTGCGTCGCGAATGTAACTTTATCTAAAAGCTTGCTTTCAGTGTTGTAATACGGCTGATCCTCGAGTCAAACCAAATTTCGCCCTCATTTCGTAGTTATCTGACTTGGTGATAGTTTGATGGAAATATCTGATTTATAAAATCAGTTGGATTAAATAATAAGGAAAGAAGAAAAGAAATGCTTAAGAAATGGAAATTTTTAATGGATTAAAACTATAATATTATATAATGAGTGCAGTTCAAGAGGTTGGAGTATTGGAGTATGTTGGTCATTTGTATCTTTTAGGATTGAGTGTTATCCTAATCTTCACGCAATCTCCATGGTAAATCATAAATAAACTGGATTTTAATGCTGGTATTTGAACTATTTGAAAACGTTTTGAAAACATTGTATTGCTCGGCATCATTTCTGTTTGATAGACAAAACGTATCATTTTGTAAATAAGAGCTGAAGTACTCATTATCTTCTCATAATGACTTTAGCCAAGAAGAGAGGAAACTCGCCCAGCTTAAAACAACTAGGTTGCCACTGATCTTGTTAATCAGTGGTGCAGTTATGTCAACGTACAATTCTATACATCCTTCTGGAAAATTATAATTATGTGAGCAACAGTCGAGAGTACATTTTACATATGGTCTTTCAATGCAGAGCCTCCAGATTACATGATCAACTCCAGTGATCGTCATCAATTTTATGGTTCATCAACAACCAAGGTGTCTGCTGAACTGTCGAAATACTTGTTCACCGGAGATCAACTTCCAAATTATTGTAGCCATATCAAGTCAGTAGAAAACTTTTGAAGCTCGTGCTCTTCCCAGCTGACGACCCTATTCTTCTGGTTCTTCCTCATTCGTACACCATAGCAACATCATACAAGAATTCAGAATTTTATGCTGGTTGGCGTATCTGAGTTACTGAACTTTTTATTCTTGCCCAAGAAATACTCCTAAACCGCCAAATGCAACTCAGCTTTCGGAATGAATCACTTGATTTACAATGCTTTACAAATTTATTGCTGAGCGTTATTAATTAAGCTTCCGGATTTACTGAATGTGGCGGTTACTTGATTCCTTCGAATTTACATCCTCTACTAACATGTCGTATAATAATGACACATGCAAATGATTTTTCTAGCGAAACGCACACCAAACGCACACTCAAGTTTAACATTGAATTTAGCATTGTTGAATAGTCATGTACCAGGTTAACGCTCAATCCAGAGGTATTCTTAGCAAAGCGAACTAAAATTCACCAGTATGCCTCAAGCTTCGACTGAGCTGGTAATGCACTGAACAAAAACGAATTTCATAGATGATGTATGGTTATAATGATGGTTATAAGCAGTTTCCTTCATTGAGTGACATTTTCTGTGAATATGATCATTAGGTGAGTAAAGTGATCACATTTGAACTCATTGTCAGCAGTGTTTGATGTTTCGGCTCGAATGTAATTGGTAATGAGGCCTTCGAATAGAATTTATTTATTAGACACCGCAACCAATCGCGAATGTTTTGCGTAGCAATCACTGCAATCGGATGGAGAGCAATGTTGATCTTTTTAGTGATCGATCAACGACGTACGAATCCAGGACCAGTGCGTGGCGGTGGACAATGGTCACATGAGCCCGGCTGTCCAGGAGGTCCCCTTGGTCCAGGAGGACCAGGTGGTCCAGGCAAGCCATCGGCACCTTTCTCGCCTGGATCACCTGCAGGACCTTGAGGTCCAGGTTTGCCGGGTTGGCCATCTCTTCCTGGTGGTCCAGGTGGACCTGAAATCGTAGTGTTTTCTTTTAAGCACATTTTGACAGTGGCAATTAAAGAGTTTCGCGGAAAATAGCTTCATTTTCGGTATTCTACTGTAATGTTGGTAGAAGGAAATGTGGGCAAAAAAAATCCGAAATTGGATCAAACTATCGATCGCCGTGACACCGCAATATTTCATCCGCCTCGCGTTCTATGATTAGACAAGTTTTGCCGTCACGATTCATCAACACGAATGAAAAACCAGGTCAGCAACTTAATAAATGATTCATCCTTAATTCAGGAACAGCCACATCAATCATTTTTAACCGATAACTCACCTTGAGGTCCAGGAGGTCCTGGTGGTCCTGGAGGGCCTGGTGGTGCACCGTTAATAACTTTACCAGGATCGCCCGGTGGTCCTTTGTCACCGGGAATTCCGGGCGGTCCTTGAGGGCCTTGTGGCCCTGGTGGTCCTGGTATTCCTGGCGATCCATCGTGACCTGTAAAATATAAGCATAAGAGCATATTTTACTTGTTCGGAAATGCTTCACTGATAATGTCTCAACCAGTTTGTCAATAATCTTAATGATGACCTGGTGATCCAGCATCTCCTTGTGGACCTGGGAGTCCTTTTGGTCCTGGAGGTCCTGGGGGTCCAGGAGGTCCCGGAGGGCATTTCTGACATGGTGGCTTCGGTGGTGGTCCGGGTAAGAGTATTCCGTCTCGGCCAGGTGGTCCAGGATTTCCTGGGCGTCCAGGTGCCCTAAATAATTGTTAATTGGAGCTATTTATTAATAATTAGTTTGTTACTGAATGAAAAAATGGATTATCTTAAATGAATTATAGCAGTGCAGTTACTAAAACTTCCACTGAGAAATTGACAGTCGAAAAGCGTATTGCAGTCAGAGGTTACACATCCAAATTGAACACAATATAACTGTGACTCATATGTGTTTGAATGTGTTTTCGACTATAAATCACTTAGTAGAATACTGAGTCCTCTTTGTTCGACAAGTAATTCCTAATTATAAGGATTTTTCACTCCATCAAACGCAAGCAAGTCTCACTCCTAAGACACGCAAGCAAGTCTCACTCCTAAGCTATCATGTTC